AAGGCTCACCTGCGGGTGCTTCTCCCGTGGAGTGTTCCCCCCCGCGAGTATTGCTGCTGTGTCTCTCCCAAGCAAACGGCCTCCCTGCAGCCAGCAAGTCAGCCCCGGAGTTGCAGGGCAGGGGATGCCGCCGCCGCCACCGGACCTCTCCCAAGTAAGCAGCCTCCTCGCAGCCAGCGAGTCGGCCGTGGAACAGGGGCCGCCGCCAGGTCTCTCCCAAGCGAGCGACCTAACCACGGCCAGGAAAACAACGAAGAAGCAGTAGAAAGGGAGGCAGAAGAGGGGGGAGATTGTTTTTGGGGGGAGAAACAGGGAGGAGAGAGGGGCAGACTGACAACGGGTGGGGGAAGAGGGGTGAGACATAGAAGGGGAGAGAGAAGAAAGGAGGTAAGAAAGGATTCCTCGAGAAGGGGGTGGGGAGGAGAACTAAAATAGAAGGAGTGAGAGGAGAAAGGGAGGTGAGGGAAGATTGATAGATAAGACAGGAGGGAAATTTGACAGAGAAGGGGGGAGAGGCAAGCAAAGGTGGGGGAAATGCCCCCTCCCCGCAAGTTTCTTGCGTGTCTCCCCTTGTAATTTATATAATTGCCAACATTACCTATCAAAGAAGACCTTCTGCTGCAAAGTACCATTAAACCAATTAACTTAGTCTGTGAGGCCTCCAAGTTAGCAAATTGCTAGGTATTCCTTGTATGTTAATATAATCACTTAGGGCACTGACAGCACAATCCTAAACAGAGTTACAGCCTTCTAGGTCCATTCTTTTCAATGAATTTAGGAACATTTTACACTTTATCTGTTTTACACTTTAAATATCCACATTGGGTGCATTCAGACACGCCATTTGATCTGGTGTCGTGACAGTTCAGCAACTGATTTTATATGCACGATCACACAGTCAACATCTGCCTCCCATCCCCAGCCATTGGTTTCTGACTCAAAACCCCTTTAACCCGGAGTATTTTGTTACCAGGTCCCAAAGTGGTGTTTTCTCAGCTCTCCTGTTTAAAGCCGCATTTCCCCCCTGTGTGATCGCTCCTCCGGTGTCAAGCCACTTCTGGTTTAAACCCCCTCCCTGCTCAAAAGCTGCCCGAGGCTTCCGCTTTTCGCCCGCCATTTTTTTAGCGTCTCCAGTGCGCACATAGGCGGAGCTCCACTACCGTGTTTAGAAAACTGACATTTAAACAGTCACTTGTTTTAGAGTTTAGATGAGTTTGGGATCTCACAGAGGCCATTTTCGGGTCAAACGTTTAAAGGGAAGTCTTTTGTTGGAGGAGTTGGATTGACTCACCCTGGTGGTTCTACACATGCGTTTCGCCCCCCCATTCTACGGATGAGTGCTTATGCGCATGCGCAAACTGAGGGGGAGAACTTGCCAACACACGCTCCCGCACGTCGGTAGTGTAGACGCCGGGGAGTGACGTGACTGCACGGTGAGGCGGGATAAGGGAGGTAAGTATGATCACGATTATCCAGATCAAATATAATCTGGTTAGAACCGGAGCAGTTTAACCCGCTCTCAGCATGCCGTCTGACCACACCCACTGAGATCTAAAATCACATGGAGATTTATTAGCCGCCTTTCTCCCTTACGAAACTCAAGGCAGCTTTCAATATAACAATGATTTTTTTCAAAGTACAAGAATATAAATTGACAATTACGAAGACTCACAAAAGTTCAAAATTTAGACTTAAAGATCGGTTTTAAAAGGTCTGGGGACTGTTAATGTGGTGCTGGATATGTTTGGCTGCACCCTAAGCCTTTACGCACACAATGCTGTAGGAATCTGTTACATAAACTAGGAAAAGTACAACCAACAGCCCTGTTTAAAAAAAAGTATTCATTCTTCAGCACTGCAGAGGAAATACTTAACAGGGATGGGCATGAACCTGGAAAATGCAGTTCGTGGTTTGTGGCCTGCCTGGTTTGTGAATCATGAACCGTCACAAACTTTTAGAGGCTAAACAAACTGGTTCAGTTCATGAGGTTTGTGATGTAGTAGAAAACCCCCTGGTGTGCTAGAGTTACCAACCTCATAAGAGTTCTTTGTCTGACTCTCCTCTACCTGCCTTCCAAGTTGGGTAATTATTGGATTATTGGATTATGGCCCCCCCCAAAAGGTACCCCCATCCTCCATTGTTTCCAATGGCGAAAAAAAGAAAGAAAGAGCAATAGAAGCCCAGCAGAACACAAAGTCCCTGAGAATCTGCAATGGAAACTGAAGGTGGGGGCATTTTTGTAAGTCCAGCAGAACTAGTGCAATGTGCACAGCAGAACCAGTGCCACTGTGATGGAGCAAACCCAACAGCACTAAGATAAAGAAAGGAAAGGGCTTTGGGGGAAAATGTCAGGCACAGATTTAAAAGCATATAAAATGCCCCCCTGCAAGCTACACACACCAAATACACAGGAAACCTCACCCTGCCACCCGCTCCTCTACAATCTCTCCACGTTTGGGGTGAACTATGGATCCCCCCAAGGTCTCCCACATTTATATCCTCCCACCCCTCCTGAGTGTGAACACTTCTGTGTGCCATGAAAGTGGGTACAAAGGGTGCACTTCATGGGGGGAAGTCCTCCACCCACTGCATACCACAGGCCCTTGCCCCCAGGCACCAAAACCATCCTTCCAGCCCTAGCAGGGCATCACCAGGGGTCTCAGAGCCTCCTTCCCCTGATCTGTTCCTGGGGCTCTCCACAGAGGCAAAAGAGTTGTTAGCACTGCCCAGAGAAACCAGCTGTTGTTAACACTCTTTGGAGAGGAGGACTCCGACAGCAGTGATTGGGGTGGGGGGGAGCCCATAGTTTGGAAACATTTCTGCACCCTCCCTAGTGACCCATGTGTGGCAGAGTGCCAGCTGTGCCACACCCATCTCTGGAGGGGCACAACCCCCCAACACTTGTCCTTCTCCATCCTCCACCCAACTATGTTGCCCTGGAGAAAAGAGTGGTGGCCAGAGGAAGAAGAGGAAGCAGTCACTCACCTCATCAGTGAAATGATTGTTGTAGGTGGCCAACCCTTCTCCCTCATGGAGGATGTAGCCTTTCACCAGCTGCTGCAACACCTGGCTCCCTGGTACTCCGTCCCCTTGCGGAGGACCAAGAGCTGACAAGTCTTGCCTATCACTCATCACTCCACAGTGGTGATGGTCAAGGGTGAGCTCTCCAGAGCACACAGCAAAATTGTACACGTCACAGCAGAACTCTGGAGCAGCCAGCAGCACAGCTACCTCTCCCTCACTGCCCAGTGATGGCAATCAGGTGATCTGTCTGGACTGTCATGGCATGGCATGGCCCAGGACCCAGGAGGAGACACTCCTGCCACCAGGTTACAAAGTGGTTCTACTCCATACACAGAGGATGGATACAGACTTCATGGCACAATACATTGTTGCTGTGATACAGAGTAGCCTGAGGGAGTGGGTGAGTGGCAGCAACATCATCTGTGGCTACATGTTCACAGATGCCAGTGTCAATATGTTGGCAGAGGTGACTTGTGTGACCTCATGGGCGTGCTCTGCCTGGCACACATGCTTCAGCTGGTGGTGAAGGATGCTCTGCAGCTGGTGAGCACTGTCAAGGCTTCCTGGGATGCTGCCCCCCTCAAGCTGTGGAGTTGAGTGGATATATAACATTCTGATCCCATAGAACAGAATAGGAACTCTGTTACTGGCAGCCAGAAGTACCCGTTAAACTTTGGAGGGCTCCTATTGGTGCTTCCACGGCTGGAGAATTCCACCCCCTGTTGCTTTGAAGTGTTGTAAACATTTTAATTGAGCAGAGACAGTCTGTCTGGAAATTTATCCATTCACAAACCTCCATGAACAAGCATGAAAGTTCATAGAATGTTTGCGCCAGTCACCCTTCCATGAAAATCGCTTTGCAAACTATGAACCGGCCAAAATTCTTCACAAACTTTAGTTCATTAACTAGTTCATGCCCATCCCTAATTCTTAATGGTATTAACATGGCAGCTCCTTTTATTGGCACGTAACTGGAAACCATGGTTAGTGTCTGAAACAAAATTTGGGTCATTCAAATCCTGGTTAACTAAAAAAAGTGCTGTTTTTATTGTCTTCATTCTTTTACCCTGCCTCACCAGCAGTGACCCTACTGGTATCCTGGTCTGCATGGTGGCAAGGGACAAGTTAAAATTCTACTGGATACATCATGTGAAACTAGCTTTTTCATCTTCCCTGCTGCAGCAGGCCAACCTCCTGTCCCTGCATTCAATGGAGCACTGGGAGCAAAAATGGCAGGAGATGATGGGGTGCAGTGCAGTGCTCTAGGAATTCCCGTTATCTATATGTTTTTACTATAGAGACTGAGGAAATTCTTAGAGTGTTGGTACTGTTGTGATGTCATTTCCCCTAGTCTGCACCTCAAAATGTTCCGACTCCTCAAATGCTCCCATATGGCCACCCTATGTGAAATCATAGTTAAGGCTTCACACTGCTATCTTATCCTGATTTTTTCCAGAGCTACCTCTCCTTTCTCTGAAGTCAGGTGGGAATGGAAATTTCAGACAGCATTTGAAAGAAGGAGAGAAAGGGGAAGTCTGCACTTAAAAATAATGCACTGCAAAGAGAGTGCACAGCTTACCCTGCAGAGACAAAGCAGCCCCTTCATACAACTAATTTGTTGGTAGGAGACAAGGTCTACAAAAAGACCTAAGGTTTGCAGAGGTAATGGCATATAATGGAACACTCCAGCCAGTCAGCCAACAAATACATTGCATCAAAGGTGGTTTGGAAAACCACAGGGGGAAAATGGACAACACAGAGAAGGAAACCAGACTGGACAACTTGTGTGAGAAAGGTACAACCCTCCCCCCCAAAAACTATGGCAGTAAAATTAATGCAAAAAGCAGTAAAATTAATGCAAAAAGTTCCATCTATATATATAAAAGAAAGTCCCCTCACCGTAAACTCAACGCCCAGGCCAAACCCCTGGACCTAGAGACACCAAATTCGGAGAGAGTGCTCCTATCATGGCATAGGTGCTCGCTAAGAAGGGATTTTTAGAAATTCGACCCCTAAGTGGGTCAAAAGGGGGGAAATGTGCTTCCCCCATTGACTCCTATGCGGCTGCTAGGCAGCTGACTCTCTGTACCCCTCACTCTCTGATTGGTCAGCTGCAGAGCTCAGTGTTCTGAGGTTAAAAAAAAAACCCAACAGTTACAGGGGACTGCAGAGAGCTAATGACAGTTGAGGAAATCAGGAGTGGCCAAGAACCACCTGTGAGGTGAAGCAAAGCTGCTGGCCCAGCCTCTCTGATGGCTTCCAACACACTCCCCCCACCTCCTACACCTAAGAGGCGGTTGTCTGTCAGGTGCAACCCCACCTCCACAGTGGCTTCTAATCCCCCTCCCCCTCCTACACTGGACATTTCTAGGAGCCATTTCGATGCGTGCCTCCCTCATGAACCTGAAGAAATGTCCACCACATCATCACTCCCTCACACCAACTCCCCCTCACACCTCTCACCTCTTACTACCCCCAAGAAAGCTCCTGGCTTTCTTGAGCCAGATACACCAACGGTACAAGGAGGAGGCAACTTAGGAATGTGGCAAAGACATTTGAACATAGTACTCCTGCAGTGCACTGAGCTGCACAGGACAAGTACCAGCAAAATCACCCTGAGGTGCTCAGAACAACACAGTCTCCATATAAGCAAAACAATCCAGGAACACAAGTAGATAGGCCATCACTTTCGTGAAAGGTAGCAGGAATTGACTTAACAGACGACTGCTTCTTAAATGGACAGTTCTATGTGGCCTGCTCCAGAGTGAGCTCATCAAGCAGCGTGGTGATCCTAGCACTTGAGAGCAGAACCACCAATGTGGTCTAGAGAGAGGTCCTTCAGTAGAGAGAGAAAAAAGTACGTATGTCTCGCTTCATTTCTTACACTACTATCTTCTCTGTTAGAATTCCTACAACAAATGTCAAATTTCAAATTTCACATCATCAGTATTATAACTGGATTTACAGAACTTAAATACCCAAGTGAAGCACGGGTAGCAGGCTAGTGTGTTAATAAACTAACTTCACACCATGGTTTTGGATCCTGGACCAATACATTTTAACTAACCATAGTGGTGTGGCCTGTATGTGGACAATCACATTAACCATATAGTTAGTTTATTTAAACCTTTGTTTCACATGAGTCTGAACCCATCCAGGATTATTTTGTTTTCCACCACACAAACCTTTGGGTGCTCTGAAGTGCCAGTATAAGGGCTCCCAGTGAGAGGTGAAGCTGCTCTTTTCATGCAGAAGATGGTAAGAATGGACACTGACCTTGCCAGTGGTCTTCAAAGTGGGCACGTAAGACTCAGTTGACACTACTTGATGGGTGCTACCCAGCAACAGCATTAATAGGATAGTAACACAGATACTCGCCAGCTGGAATAATCCAGCAGAATAACAGATGTGATAACAAACAATTGTATGATGGGTCATTTATTATTATCCATTTTATTTTTAGCTTGTGACAAAGGCAAAGTGTTGGAGATGGGTAGTGTTTATATACACAGAAAGCACCGAAATAAATAAAACAAAGGTTACTATGGCTTCCGACACATTCACAAAGGTTTTTTAATGGGCTAATGGCTTTAGGCATAACATTAAAAATAAAAAATGACGTCCTCCAGGAGTCTACCATGTGGTCATTGCTATTCAAATTGAACACACATTCCAAAAATTGCCAAGGCTAACAGTTTCCCTGTCTTCAATCTTTTCTTAGTGGAATGTGAATACCTGTCTCCTGTGAAAGAAGAAAAGGACCTGAATGCCAACACCAGGTATTTACAGTCTTCCAGGTGTATTTAAAAAAAGGACACAGTCAACTTTAATAGATCTCATATTCAACAATGCTCTCTGTTGGTTTATGGTTGACTCCCGAATCTATTTCAACTATTGTTATCTTTTACAACATAGGTCGGTCATTTTTAACACAGGATGGAATTCCATAAGAACTTCACTTGGGCCAATCTTCACGATGTCCTCATAGGATAACAACCATGACCCGTGGGTTGAAGCAGCTTCAGCTCCCCACCTGTGCCAGTTTCATATCCAAAAACTGCACTGTGGAGCCACTGTTGGCTTCTCTGCAAAAATTACATATAGTCACATAATTTTACAATGGAGCCAATATTGCAGTTTTGCAGTGGAGCCAATAGTGGTTCCATGAGGTAGCTTGATGTTGTGAAAACTGCATGGGGGAGGAGGCTGAAGCGACTTCGTTGGAAGGTCTTCACTCCCTGGCGGGGGGTGGGAGGGAGCTCTCTGGGAGTGCAGGGGATGGGGCGACATCACCGTGTATGATGTCCCCAGTGTGATAATGTCATACAGAAGTGATGTCATTATGCTGGGGATGCTGTATGGTGTAGCTGTAGTATTTTGGGCAAAATCTGTGCCAGGTAGTGAGTATTGGGGGTGGGGCTTCCCCCTGCTGGCCAGCTGGCCAGGAGCAGATTTTTGAGCCCGCCAAATTGGGGGATCCCTTACTCCCACCTGGGGGCTGGCGACCCTACACCAGGGTCATAAGCACAGAAGAGTTCATGTGGGTCTGGGAGGTACAAGACTCCCATTGCACATTTGATACATAGTCCTCATGTCATCCCCCAACAAAGAGGAAGAATTTGTAAAATGGAGATTAACCCTGAGAGGCATTTTATTTCCCTCTCTGTAAATTCCAATGAGGCTGCCATGTTAGTCTTTTGCAGGAAAAGAAGTATTCTTTGGGCACATCAAAGTTTTTTTGAAGATAAACTTTTATGGGCAACAGATACATTGTCAGATGCACAAAATATATTTTGCTGACTGAGAATCTAGGTGGGGGGGGGGGGAAGCTGTGGAATGCAGATTATGCCATTTCTCCTCAGCTCTGTGCAACCCTCTGCTGATACAGTGAAGTTTATTGATGAATTCTTTCAGCTCTTTCTCTCTGGAATCCCTCTGTGGAGTTCATGTGTGGAGCTCTGCCTTCCAAACTCTTCCTTCTAATATACCTCCATCAAGTCACAAAACTTCTTATGGTGATTAAAAGAATCACCATGATTGGGTTTTTTTGGGGGGGTCTGTGAACTCACCTTCCAGTAATATATTTCCAGATACAAGATTCCAATAGACGTGTATGCAATGTTCATTGATCCTTCTTGAAAATACCCTGTGTAGATAAAAGGACGGTGTGTGTGTGTGTGTGTGTATGGGAGGAAGAATGATTGTTACCACTAGGTGGCTCTACTTTATTATGAATGATGATAATTTTAGTCATACGTAATCTGTTCCATTGTATTAGAATTAAGTGTTTTGCGCTAAGGCAAAGACAATGTCAAGTAAAAACTAGTACACTTGAGAAGACTGAAGCACAAGATGTGAGAACAAAGGTTGGGTCTTTTGGAGGGGTCAGCATTCCAGCCCTTGAAAACAGAATACAGGGCAAAAAAAATGAAAAGCCCATGTCCAAGTAGCCAGTGAAAGGAAATAATATCCTTAAGTTGATCACGGGGAAGAGAGGGAGTCATAACTGGTCCAAGGAGAAAGTGGATGGAACAGAAAGGGGCAGGTGGTGGCAAGAAGGAGTAAGAAAGGATGAGGAGGATGCATGAAGGAAGATGGTATAGAAAGTTCAGGTTGTCACTTCCATGGATACTGTGTGGGCACAAAAAATCTGCAACTCCTCAGACACTGTAATTATTTATATTAAACTGTAACCCAGCAGGACCATCTCAAGGTGTTGAGTACAAATGGATTAATGAAAAAATAATCTAGAGTTTTCAGGGAGATAAAGCAAGTGGATGAGATCTCCATATTCCAGATGTGAGTGTGAGAGTGCAGCTTGCCCAGGATCAGCGTGTAAATATTGGGATCTTTGTTTAATAGAGCAGAGTTTGCCCAGTCATAGAAGTGTGATGCTGAGTGCAGTAAATAAATCTCCCAAGGAGTATATTGCAAAAAGTAAAACTTACATTTTATTCAAGTTGATTCAGTTCACATCCAGGTTCCAGTCAAAAGGAGAGAGAGAAACCTAATCTTTCCTGATGACAAGTGGCCAGCTGTTTTGGCATCATCTGGCTGGAGCAAGTGATGCTCTGTATTCTTGGTGCTGGGGGGGGGACAGTGGGAGGGCTTCTTGTGTCCTGGCCCCACTGGTGGACCTCCTGATGGCACCTGGTATTTTTGGCAACTGTGTGACAGAGTGTTGGACTGGATGGGCCTTTGGCCTGATCCAACATTGGCTTCTCTTATGTTCTTATATGGGAGTATGAGGATATTGTTTCTACAGGAGAGACCTGTGGAGATGTGTGACTCCATGAAAAGCCATGTACAGAATGGGGAGAACAAAATACACACAGAGAGAAGAGGAGTCAGAAGTCAGCTCCCAGGTTAAGACAAAGAGAAGCATCCTATTCAAGGAGATAACACTTATAGGCAGAGATCACACGCTCCTTTAGATCTGACATAGGCCCAAATGCCTGATGGAACTAAAGGGAGTGATCAGACAGCAACATCTGGGAAGTGTCCTGCAGTCGTCAGCAACCCGTGCTGCTCCTCCATGGAAGTAGAGTTAAAGGACACCAGGGAAAGTCCAGTCCTGATGCTTGCTGACAGGCCACACATGGACTTTCCCCTGTCTGATCACTGAAGCAGGCTCTCATGCTGTCGGGATGGTCTGATCATGCCATCCTGACTCCGTGCCGTGTTTCCTCCCCCTTCGCAGTATGCGCATCATCGCATACTCCATAGGGGGCCCTCAGTGTGAAGGTGCAATTCCTCGATTGCTTGTTCATGTGCCAGGGAAACAAACAGCAAAAAAAAAAACCAACCCACAACTCGCCCACAGTTGTGTCTGATCACATAGTGATGGGCTGTGCCCGCTGTTTCAAAGGGCTGTGTGATCTCACAACTGCGTGTCATATTCCTCCGGAGGAAATAGCCTCTCTTCCCCTGTGCTTCAACTGGTGCGTGTGACCACAGCCATACACACTTAGTGATGTAGTGCCCACCAACGTCCAGATATGCTGAGTCACCCACTCCAACACAATGTTCACGTAAACAAGTACAGTGGCTAAGCAAGCAAGCAGTCCACATACTTTCCTACCAATGCTCCTTCTAAGCTGTGGAGTCTTGTGAGCAAAAATTCTACTTTGTGAATTAGTGGCATTAAAGTGAGTGAGCAATTTGGCTACTGCATGAATTAGCTATCTCTGGCGCCATCCTTCCTGAGCTACGACAAAAATGTGTGAGCCAGAGGCTAAGAAACTGTGAGATAGCTCACACTAACTCGGCTTAGAGGGAACACTGCTACCTTTAGTGTAATCCTAAAGACACTTTCCTGGGAGAAATCCCCACTGAATAACATAGGACATACTTCTGAATAGACCTGTTTTGGATTGCACCAGTTTGCTTTTAGCCTCCTGCTGGCCTTTGGTGCCCCAAGCAGTTGATCACGTGACTTAGAATAGGAACAACCTTATGCATTTGGTGAGATTTGAACTATGTGTGAACAAAAGATGAATCATTTGTTCCTCTTGGCAAACTTGGCAAGACCTCATGGGAAAAAACAGATTTGGATACGGAACAATCTGTTATTCTGCTAGTGTGTGCTGTTTCACAATGGTGTAAGCAAACACAATCATCACTTCAGCAGACAGACATTTTATGATTGAAGCAACTAATACTGAAGAAATGTAACATCCCTTTTCTTTTGTTGTTAAGGAGAATTTGATACAAATTGCGTATGTGTACATTTTTATACCAATGGAATGCAGTCCAATAAAAACACCTTATCACATTCATTCTGCAGAACCAAATTGGCATCAAAACTGTCTAAATCTAAGAGTAACCACACAGAAGAAATTACTTAAGAAAAATTTGTTTTAAAAATTTATAAATGTTATGGTACATTATTTTTTATTATTTTTAAATTATATTTACACAGTGACTGTGAATCATGAAGATGGCACTACACGGTTTAAAAGAAGAGACACATCGAACTTAGATCCTTGAGATCCTGGATGGCCAGGATATGAAGCTTGGTTCCTACCAGTCACCAAAAGGAACACATTTGGCTGTTCCTGTTAGTGTTGCTCATCATAATGACAGCATCAGTTCTCCACAACAAAGGTCCTGAAGTTAAGTCTTACTGCTGTGCAATTCAGAAAGAACATTTAGAAAACAATCCCCTTTCAGACATTTCTCAGGGCAATTCACCTTTCCCCCTGAAAATATGTATGGTCTATTTGTAAGGTTGCCCAAATATACAAATGTTCCCTTGATTTTGAAATTCTTTGCTCTTCAGTGTATGAATCACAGAACTAAAGTACTATCAATGTAGCGTACTTCATCTTCCTTCTGGTAATTATGGTAATACCTCATATAGGACTTGTACTGATGAATAAGTTAGAAATCCTGGAACAAATCTGATATGCAGTGACAAATCACATTGTTCTCTGATACTACAAATTACAAAGCATGGCTCTACCCCAGAAGTCTTTTTGTTCTTTGTAATGTACTTTGAGCTGCGGTGGCTCAAGTGGTTAAGACGCTGAACTGCAGGCTGTGGAAGAAGGACAGTAGTTCAGCAGTTCGAGACCCGGGTGCCGCATGATGGAGTGAGCTCCCATCTCTAGTTCCAGCTCCTGACAACCTAGCAGTTCAAAAGCAAGAAATTGCAAGTAGATAAATAGGTACCGCTTCGGTGGGAAGGTAACAGCGTTCCGTGCACCTTGGTGTTTAGTCATGCCGGCCACATGACCACGGAAGCGTCTTCGGACAGCGCTGGCTCTTCGGCTTTGAAACGGAGATGAGCACCGCAACCCTAGAGTCGGATTCGACTGGCTTTCGAGCAAGGGAACCTTTACCTTTAATGTACTTTGAAGGTTTTTGCAATGAAAAATGCAAAAGAAACATGGATGTTGGGGGCTGTGGCTGTGTCTTAAGAGAGAGAAGAGAGACTCTGAACATGTCCTATTTTCGTATGAGGGATCTAGTTGCTGAGGAGCAACTTTAGCTCAACAGCCAAAATGGAGGCCTTCCTTTCCTGAATCCCAGTCCCTCTTACAGAGTAACACTCCTGCTTTATTGTGGAAGGGATAAGGAAACAAAAGAGAAAACAATGAAAGAACTAAGAGAGAGTCTTAAGATTTCCTGCACAGTCATGCTGAGCTGTCATTCTCTACCTTGGAGTTGGCTTCTTTGTTGCAGAGATAATACTAGCTGGCTTCTGAGGGTATGAAAGCTCTACACCAGATTTCCTAGGGGTTCTCCCTTTCTGGTTTGTCATGCAACCTTGGCTCATTTAGAGAACCTAGAATCTTCCTTCCCACTTAAAGCACTTTCTCCTTGCTTAGCGACAGATGATCACTTCCCTTTTTATTAAATGACTCCAATTTTGCCTACCACAGGGATCTTCCTTTTTCCTCTGAGCTTATCTCTCCCCCTCCACAAATGAATTTTGGCATGGGTTGTATTTTCAAAGAATAGACAGTTTTTCTCTCAGTGTTTGGAATGTGGCATGTGATAACTGTGCTTATGAATGTGGTGCCCTGTTGGATCAGACCAGTGGTTCACCAAGTCCAACATCCTTTTTCACACACAGTGGCTAACTGGTTGTCCTGGATGACCAGCAAGCACAGAGTAAAGGCCAAGGACTTCCCCTGATGTTGCCTCCTAGAACTAGCTTAAAGGTTTACGGCCTGTAGATGCGGAGGTTAGCTTTATTGAAATAGTGGCTAGATAGTGAAGGATTACAGCCTCAATAAGAATCAAGGCCCCACGGGTCTGTAATTTACCTTTTACTGCATATCTTTTTTCTTACAAAGTGTCATATTTCCATTGTTTTCCATATGTCAAGGTCTGGACCTTTTCCCCTTCTAGGCCTCAACTATGGTTTTGCAGTGTGTGTATTCACTTTACCACAGAGACAATTTGAAATGAGTGCCTAGCCTACCTTAGCTCAAGTTCCATTGGTTAGGTAACAAAAGATGAGAAGAATCAATTTCTGCAGAGCTTCCTCAGTAACCACGTAGCTGCCTTCTCTCACTATCATCCTACTCTCTTCATTAAACCTTTCTATTCAAGCCAGGGAAAATAGCTGTTGAGCCATCTTTTAACCCCTTTTGTTTTATCCACTGCTAATGGCTCTTATAACCTGTGCCCTGAGTCCAGCTTTAATATTACTTCTGCCACAGTATTTTGATAGCCAAGTGAGTGGAGATAATTAACCACAACATTCCACACAGAACACTACTCTTTAGTTCCTGCATATGAGTATGTTAGGGCTGCCAGCTCCAGGTTGGGAAATACCTGGAGATTTTGGGGGTGAAGCCAGAGATAGGCAGGGTTTGGGGAGGGGGCGGCCTTCAGTGGGGTATAATGACAGAGTCCATTTTCCAAAGCAGCCATTTTCTCCAGGTGTACTGATCTGTGGAGATCTGTTATAATAGCAGGAGGTCTCCAGTCACCACCTGGAGGTTGGCAACCCTATGTGCATGGACAAATGGTCATGTGCAGCTGCGCACAACAAGTACTATGGCCACCTAGCTAGTTTGCTTTGTTTGGTTGTTGACCTCTCACTTTTAAAAAGTTCAGATCTGATTTTTGTTAGTATGGAAATAAGCCAAAGCCTTGTACTTTAACAACCTTAGAAATCTGGCAACACTACTTAGAAAGATGGTGTGCCAGTGTCTCCTGTGACAGGATACTGTAAGTAACAGCCACTTCTAAAGCAGCATGGGCAAGCATGGGCTAGTAGGATGCTCCGCTTCTTGTACTGGCCACACTTCCTACTGATATTCTGGTTGTTGTGAATAAGGCTGCTGACCCTCTTCCCCTTCCATCATCCTTTGATATGGAAATAATACTGTTGTACAAGAAGACACTGGATTTGGCAGTGCTCACATATCTGTGTGGTCTAGTAGTTAGAGTGTCCAACAAGGATCTGGGAGACTCAGGTTTGAAACTCCATTCTGTCATGGAAGCTTTCATGGCCTGTTACTCTCTCTCAGCCTAATCTATATCACAGGTGTGTTGTGAGTATATAATGGAGGAGGAGAGTGATGTTGAAAGCCACTTTGTGTTCCCAGGGGAGAGAAAACTGGGTATAAATAAATGGGGATATAAAGCACAGCATGTTTTAGGATCGGGACATAGAAAATATTAAACACTTTACTGAGGCATTCGGAACATTGGCACCTTTCACACTGCTGTTTTAAACCGGTTGTTATCTGTTGCTGGCCTGATTCTCTGTAAAGCAACATGGGGAGGTTTTAGATAGCATATTTAAACCTGTTTATGAGCATTGTCTGAAATGCTCTGCCCATTTCAAAACGCACCACTTCCCCCCCACCCCTTTTTGCAGCAGGTTCTATTTGGGCTTTTTAAAAAAAGTTCTAACTTTTGTGCTATAGCGCTAGACCAGTAGAGCAATTAAATGATATCTGAAGGCTATATTCATCTAGCCCTATAGAAGGCTATATAGTCCAGCACAATAGCTATATTCGTCTAGCGCTATAGTGCAAAAGTTAAAATGTTCAAAAATTAAAAAAGAAAAGAAAACAGCTGAAATAGAACATGCTGTGAAAAAGGGTGGGGGGAAATTTGCTCTTTCAGAAGTGCCACAATCATTTCAGTGATTCAGAAGCGCAATGAACACCTGAAAATGGAAGAAGGAGTTTTAAAAAAAAAAAAATGGCTCAGTCCCACTTTGCGAACGGGATGCAAGTGGCTTTGTTTGATAAGGCAAATAAAATCCGTTAGCAGCCAGGAGCGAAAATGGTTGTGTCTGAAATGGCACCAAAAATCTGTTAGCAACTGGCAGCTAAAATAGATTGCATAGGTTGTTTGAAAGGGGCCGTTTTCAGTCACTTGAGTCTGATACCCTACTAGCATAAAGCACTGAAACACCATTTCAGTATCTAAAACAGCGACAAGTAGTTCTCATTGGCCGTTTAACACAAATGCCACTGACTGTTTCTGGGAAAGATAAATTCTGATTATTTGTTTGACATACTCTTAGTGGGATTTATGGACACATGAAATGTTTTAGGGTCACTAAGGAACATTTACCATGTGGGGAAGAGGCAGCAGCATCATTTCTGAAAGTAATTATGGGTCTCAAGTATTCTTAGATTCAAGTCTGTCATCTTTGCATTGCCTCTTTTTTGCTATCACTTGGTATCGGATGAAGGTCAATGTATGTTTTGTAATATGAGCAATATACTTCTATAATTAAGGGAAAAGATATGTTATTCACACACATACACAAGAACATAGTAATAACAAATTGAGCACATAACTAAAAGTAAGTATGTTAATATCTCCAAAATGCTTATAAATGCTTATCTCACAGATGTGTGTTATTAGGTAAAAATTGAAAAAGGTTACGAACACTATGTTATGAAATATAATGATGCTACCGCAGTGTATTATTTCTGTAAATAATTATGAGATTTAAGTGAATAATGTCTAATTTTCCTGAGCGCCTGTATTGTAAGGATGAATTTATTAGTGAATGGTCTGTATCTGCAAGAGTCAGAAAGTCAGTCTTCAGCTATTGGGAGAGACGATGCAGATAAAGGAAGGAGCCAGCAAAAACTGTTTTATGGTGCTGAAAATAATAGCAATTCCGGGGAAAATATATTCTATACAAAATAAAATGTTCTGTTTAGGTGAGCCAACATTTTTTGGATGGAATTTTTGGATGTTTCTTAAGGTTTAAGTCAGATGTCACAAAAATCTACAATTTGTTAATGATATAGTCACAAATGAAATCCCAAAGTTTGTGCTGTCTCCCATTCTCTCAACTGTGGAGTGAAGAGAGAAGGTGGTTTGTTTACAGAAGTCCTTGATCCATCCAACCACTATTGGCTGCAATGTCTGAATTCTTGGGCACGAGCTGAGTGACGGGAACCCCAAGGCAAGAGCCGAACCAGGGAGGTGGGTGGGGGGCAGCGGGGAGAGTGTGGCCACAGGAGCAAGCTGTTTGGGAGAAGAGGGACCCAGGGAGGAGCAGGCTCCCAGGCATACCTGAAGATCCTGCAGGCAGACCCCGTGAAGAGAAGTCCCAGGAGGAGGACGCTACACCGGGCAAGCCAAGGAAGCATCGCCCATTGGGGGGCGGGACTCAGACGAGGGAGGGAAAAGACAGATAAAGGGAAGGCAGAACCACCAATAGGAGAAGGAAAGGAGGAGATGGAAAGGGAAAGGAACCACAGGGGAGAGAGGGAAACAGGAGCAGCAACAATAAAA